ACAGAAGCCAATCAAAAGGCTATACACTGTGATTCTAACTATCTGACATTTTGAAAAAGGCAAAGCTATGGAAATAGTAACTGCATCAGTGGTTGCCAGGGTTTGGGGGTGGGAAGAGGAATAAATAGGTGGCACTCAGAGACTCAGAGCAGTGAACTGACTCTGTATGACACTTGCCAAAACCCACCGAATGTACACCACCAAGGGTGATCTAATGTCAACTATGGTCTGGGTGATTTTGATCACTTTCAACTTCGAAGGACGTACCACTGTGGTGAGGGAGTGGTGTGAGGGAGGCTGGGCATATGCAAGAGGAAGCAGTATGTGAAAAATTTGTATACCTTCCCCTCAACTTTGCTGTGAACTTAAACTGCTCTGAAATGTAAAATCTTTAAAAAAACACTGAAAAAACTCAACATTATATGGCATCAGAGAAATGCAAATTAAAACAAAATGAGATACCTCATCAGCGTATACACCTGGGAGGGCTTGGGAAGGTTCTGCCCACGTGGTTTTCAGCTGGGAGATTCTGCCCCACACAGACACTTAACACTATGAAAGTGGAAACAGACAGGATGTTTACCGAATCACGTGTCCATCAAGAGATGAATGGATAAAGAAAACGGAATTCAACGAAATCCTCTTCATGGTTCAAAGAGGACAAATACTGTACTTTCATGGGAGGATGATATATTGTAAAAGGGGAACGTTTCAAAACAGTTTATGTGATTGTAAAAATATAAATATATATGTGAGCATGTATGGAGAAGACAAATGGGAGGATATACACAGTTTCTTGACAGCCTTTGTCTCTCAGGAGGGAAATGGGAGACTTACAATATTCTCCAATATGTACTAGCTTGTGCATGATGTTTGAATTGTGTAAAATGCTTCTGTGTCATTTCTAATTATTTCTTCAGATGGGGTGAATAAATAATCACCTGATGCATAAGATGGAGAACTTTTTTCTCTTGTCTGCCTGTTACTGGAAATTGCCTGCCTAAGGGCTATGGGTGTATCCCAAACCAATAAAAGGTTGGCGAGGCCTGAGCACCAGTGGAAGTCCTTCCCCTTGAGTTGGATTTGCCCGCCTGGACCCCCAATATTTCCAAATTATCTCTTGTCTTGTCTCTTTCATTTGCATGCGGCCCCTCTTCCAGATCCTGAACCCTGAACCATGCCGGACACGGGACGTGGGGGGACAAACATACATAAACGTTTACACACCACATGACCACAGATTCCTTCATTGTTATTGTTATTGTGTTAATCGTTGACTATCCTGCACCCACTAAGGATGTGCCTATCATTTTACTTTTTATCCAATCCCAGGGGTCTCTCCGCTTTGCTCTCTCCCACCTCCTCCTCTATCACCAATGGGTTTCATATAACCCACCTTCGTCTCCTCAGATTGATTTGCAGAACAAAGTGAAAAGTCGCCACCCTCCAGAGCACTGTTGAGATTTTGCTTCCCGGAAACTGTGGACAATTTGGCTCAAATAAACTCACCAACGTTCTTTACAGGTTGGAACGTTTTATGTGAACACGGTGTATGAGGGGTCTTGTCCAAAGGGTAATGGGAACCGCACTGACCAGACAGCAAAACAGTCTCCTCCTAGACACTGCAGAGCGTGAAAGGCAACAAATGCAAACCGAGTTTGAAGGAAAGAATAAATAAGGGGGGAATTGTGAGAATAAACAAGTAATCTTTTCTGTCAAAGAAGGGGGTGTAGGCAGCTGTCATTTTGGCTCCATGACTGCAGCTCCCCTGGGGGCCACCATTTTGAAACGGCAAAAGTCAACCCCTCCCTTTTTCCTTTAAAGTAGCCAATCACGCAAGACTGGGAGGAGCCTAGGCTCTGACCAATCAAGAGTGAGGGACAGATGATGTGTCAGGTGTGGACCACCCCCTGCTACTCCCAGCCCCGCCCCCTGCACCTCCTGCAGGAGGTGCTGCCTTGCTCTCCCGCTCCCAGTGTCCTGCCAGGATCCCTGGTTTGGGGCTCACCTTCTTTCTAGCACAAGGACATCTGCCTGGATTGTCTCCTGGAGAAGGAACAAACTGCAGCCCCCTGATGTCTGCTCAATTTCAGCCCAAACATCCTACTCCCTCCCTTATTGTGTAGCAAGAGCTAGGGCATAAAAGGGGAGACTGCCCTTGGCTTTCCTGTCCTTGTGATGAGCTGTAGGGCGCAGCTATGGGGTTAAGCCTCAGGCTGACCTGTTGGCAAAGCCACAAACAAGTGCCAGCTTAGAGGGCACAGCCCTCTTAGCATAATTAGGCTTGACCTTATGACACTCCCTAGATCAGGGGTGGGCAACCCCTGGCACGCATGCCAAACATGGCACACCAGTAACTTTTGCTGGCACGCAAAACCCTCTCTTATAATCTCCCATTTACAATTTTTGTGAACATTTGAATGACTTAAATGTTAAATTACAAGGAACTGGCAAGACACTTGATGTTATGTTTGGTTACATAATGGCTTTTGAAAAGAAATTGGGAGTCTTTAAGAGGGATGTGGATGGTGAGAGATTTAGATATTTCCCAAACCTCAAGAGGCACATCAAAGACCTCCCAAAAGATGACAGAACAGACTGTTAAAGCCTTCAAAAGCTGTTTTTAAACATCATCGAGTCAACTATTGAGCAGTTCTTCTCAAGATTTGCAAAATTCAGAGAACTGGAAGAGATAGTAAAATTCATGAGGTTTCCAGACAGCATGAAACTGGAGGAACTAAACTTACAAATGTTTTCATGGATAGACATGGCTGACTTGAAATGCGGTTGATTGAATTTCAGAGTAGCTCAATTTGGAAGCAGAAATTTATTGACCTTAGAGTTGACTTGGAAAACATTGAAAAAAGGCGATTAGAGACAGGAGTACCAGAGAGAAGTGTCAAAAACGAACTATTGAGGACTTCGAATGCCATTCCAGAAATTTTTTTCTGTTTAAAAAACTTGGCAACAGCGTTACTCTCCATGTTTTCATCCACATACGCTTGTGAATCTTTGTTCTCAGTGATGAATTTTGTTAAGTCTCGTAATAGGAGTAGCCTGATGGATGAAAGTAGTAGCTCGTGCATATCTCTGAAGGTCACAAAATATAAACCTGATGTAAAATCTCTGTCATCAGTGATGCAGCAGCAAAAGTCCCACTGATAATATCAAACGGAGTCATAAAGTTTTCTGTCAGACTATCAGTGTACATGTATACATTAAAAGATAAATGTATTTTTCATCATCATATACTGTGTTTTTGTCGCTCAAATGAATTTTATTATTTCTTCAAGGTTCTTCACATACGTACACCTTAAGAAGTATCAAGTAGGCGTCACATGTTCTCAAAAAATTAGGGTTGGCACGCAGAAGAATTTTGAGTCAGAGATTTTGCTGGTTTTGGCACGCACTCACAAAAAGGTATCCCACCCCTGCCATAGATCTTACCTGGGTAGCTAATGGGCTGAGGGAGATGCAGCAAGTGCTGCCAAAACAAGTGAAACTCACAAGAACATTGCAACATGGTGACCATTACCTTGTTTACCTCTGGCTAAAAAATAAAGGCTCAGCTTGCAGTCTGGGTCCCTCTTTGTGGCCTCAGCCAGGCACAGGAGATCCACTAGACCCAGCTTATTCTCTTTGTCTGTCTTTAATCCTTTGCTGACCCAGCACAATGAGCAATGCCTGGCCCTTTCCCTTCATGGAAAGTAAAATAAACTCCCTCTGGCTATATCTCTCTCTTCCCTCAGGTGAGAATTCCTTCATAACCCGCTTCACCAGCCAAAACCCTGGTAATATGTAACTCTTTTTAAATGCCCTCTTCCCTGGCCTGGCCAGTGTGGCTCAGTTCATTGGCCATCGTCTCCTGAACCGAAAAGGTCACCTGTTCCATTCCTGGACAGGGGACTTACCCACGTTTCAGATTTGGTCCCTGGTCGGGTGCGTTTCAGAGGCAACTGATTGATGTTCCTCTCTCTCCCTTTCCCTTCCTCTTTCTCTAAAATCAATTAAAAGAACACACTTTTTCTTTTAAGCACTGTTTCCCATTTTACAACCCAAAGATGTCTTTCACAAGGACCTGGGAGTAATCCTTTGAAATGCAGTCCTCCAGGAAAATAGCTCTCCTGCACCCAGTTTCTGTGGGCAGTGGGAGCCAGCATCCCTCAGCAAGCACAGCCGGCTGATCGCAGAGAAAACAGGCGAATAACGTCTCTACGGCACACCTCCCCGCAAGCCTCCCTTCCGCTGCCCGCGCACCCAGCCCGCACACGCCCTCCCCCCGGCCGGCCCGCACAGGGCCGCTCCGCTGGGCTCGGGCCCCTTCCCGGCTCCCGCAGCCTATTGCACGCTGCACTTTGGCGCATTTTTTGCTCTGACAGGGAACTAAACTCCCACCTCGCTTTCAGCCGTTTGGTGAGCACTGGCTATGTCCAGGCCAGTCAATACTGGCGGTCACCCTCTGAGACCGGTACGGGTGTCCCTTTTCTTACCGATGGGGAAACGGAGGCCTGGTGAACATAAGCGCTCTGCTTTCGCCCACTGATATTAACGGAATGTTTGTGCCCCGCCCCCCACTTACATGATGTGGGGTCTTTGGGGGGATGAGTCATGAGGGGGGAGCCCCCACGAAGGGATTAGCGCCCTCAGAGAACAGACCAGAGAGTCCCCCCTCCTCCCCGCGAGGACGCCAGCATCCTCCCTAAACCCTCACAGCCCTCGGCAGGCACCGCGCCCCGCGGAGCCGGGGCGGGACTCCCAGCCTCCGGGCCGGCGAGGAGGGAAGCTCCCGTTTCCAGTCGTCCCGCTGGCACCGGCCACACAGCCCCAGCTACTAGGGCGGTCACTCAGACCCACCCAAACTGCTGCCTCCGAAACCGCGCCAACCAAGCAAGACCTCTCCGCCTGCGGGAGGAAGGCTCCCAGGGGAGTCTCAGGACCGCTGCCCAGGCAGTGGACCCGGGGGTGGGAGTAACCCAAGGGCGGGAGGTCTGGACACTCACCCCGCAGGCCTCGCAACCGCAACCGCCTCCGCCGCCACTGCTGCGCGCGAGCCTCTTCCCAACGCCCTGCCCAACCGCACCGCGTCCGGGGCCAGCTTCTCGCGGGAGCCGCGGGGACGACCTCCAGCCCAGGTGCATCGCCTCCGCTCCGCCCCTCCCGGACACGCCCTCCCGGACACGCCCCTCCGCTCCGCCCCTCCCGGACACGCCCTCCCGGACACGCCCCTCCGCTCCGCCCTCCCCGACACGCCCTCCCGGACACGCCCCTCCGCCCCGCCCCTCCCGGACACGCCCTCCCGGACACGCCCCTCCGCTCCGCCCTCCCCGACACGCCCTCCCGGACACGCCCCTCCGCTCCGCCCCTCCCGGACACGCCCTCCCGGACACGCCCCTCCGCTCCGCCCCTCCCGGGAACGCCCTCCCGGACACGCCCCTCCGCTCCGCCCCTCCCGGGCACGCCCTCCCGGACACGCCCCTCCGCTCCGCCCCTCCCGGGCACGCCCTCCCGGACACGCCCCTCCGCCCCGCCCTCCCGGACACGCCCCCTCCCAGCACTGTCCCTCCCCACCCCCACATCCCCCAGGCCTTGTGCCCCTGCCCTTGCGCTCGCTGCCGGGCCGCCGCCGGCCACTCGGCTGACCCACCTGCAAACCCTCCTCCTGCTCCCCGAGTCCGCAGACGCTCCTCTGGGCCGACCCCGCCCCAACGGCACCTCCACCTCCAGTGCACCTACCGGCTGGGTCACAGGTTCCGAATGCTGACCCTGCTGTCGGGTGTCCTGTGACTGCCTCGCGGTGCCAGGAGCTGGGCTCTGGGACCCACAGGTCAAGCTGTCAGAGAGGGCGCTGGAGGACGCGGCTGGACGAGGGCCTCCGCTGCTGCTTCAGGCGTTTGCCCTGGGATCCTCTTGTGCAGCCTCAGGACGCTCGCCTCACTCACCTCCCCCCACCCCACGCCCCGTCCACACCCCATTAAGTGTGGCTTCCCAGTGGTTCACGCAGGTGCCCCTACTGCCAGCAGCCTGCCAGCCACCCCAGAACGGTGTATCCTGTTTGCCAGCCCAGGCCACAGCTCCCAGTGGTCCAGCAGGCTGACCCTGAGGGCATTTCCTGCTGCTGGCAGGTGTGAAACAGGCCTGGCCCAGGGCCATCAACATCCCCACCTTCTCTTCAGATTTGTTTCTTCCTTGGGTCATTTCCCTTAGCCTCGGGCTTAGGGCATGCGCTTTAGGTGCCTCCTTACAGCTAACCCTGTGAAAGTGCTCAGCAGAGGACCTGATGCATAATAGTTTTTGTTTCTTGCTGGAAGACGAAGAGGTGTGCTGGGCACAGGGAGGGACAGTGGGAGGGGCTACCAGAGGAAGGGAATGTCTTAAAGGGTCAGTGAGGAAGCCAACTGGGAGACTAGATGCAAGAGCTACTAAGTAGCTTCTCTCCCCCTTTGAAACTCGGCTAGCTCAGGAAACAAATTTTACAATTACAGAAATCGCTTTTGGGAGACCAATGGTAGTATGGGAATGGGACTCACTGGAAGTTATATTAAGCTAAAAACAATAGAACAGAGAATACCTGTTGGATATCATCTTGTACTGTAAGACTGAGACAATGAAAACCTTGAACAAACCATCCCAAAATAGAGCAGCTTCATGGACTCTTTCCATCTTGCAATTCAACAAGGCTCATCCCACTTGTCTGCTCACCTGCCCATATTTTGGAGAAATGATTAGACTGCCATTGTTCATGGGGACTCCAGCTGTCCAAACAAGAATCAGAAGAGCTCTCTACCTCTCTCTCAACCTCATTTCTCCATCTTTTCTTCTTAATCAGAGGTAGGCAAGGGTAGGAAGGAAAACATCCTATTTTTAAAGACTGTTTTTGCTTTATGTTCTTGGACTCTACGTGGTCTTCGTGCAAACATCATCTTACAAATATAAAATCTTGGTTTGAGTTTTGGAAATAACCCAATTTACCCCATAAACTTTGCTATTTATTTTAATTAGATTATTTTGGGGTATAAAATTGGTGAGTATGTGTGTGTATGTATGTATGTGTGTATGCATGGGAAATATGCTTTGTTCCAGGCATAATGCTTCTCTTACCCATAACTCAACTTAAAAATAAATCTCATGGTCTTCCAGCTGTCCCATCTAACCGCACCATCATTTCTGGATGTTTCTGTTCAAACACTTAGAATTCTCAGAAGTAGGTTGTTCCCACCTTGATGAACGCTGGTCTTAACATATTTCTAGGAGAGAGAGCATGAATTTCGCCACATGTCTTTGCACATGCTGGCTTCACAGGCCACCCATGTAAGTCTACAAAGAAGGGACATATGGTCCTTTGGGGGACTCTTAATTACATAAGCATATTTACGCCAACATCTACACACGCACAGGAATGCCCCTCTACGTATCCAGGTGTAGCAGAGAGAGGCCTAAGAAGACAGGCCTCGGGTTGGAACTGAATCTCAGGGCACCTCCTCGTTGCCATCAAGTCCGTTGTTCTCTAGGTTGGCAAAGGTCAGGAAGACTTGTTCCAGCGTTATCTGACTGACAGAATAATCTTCTAAATTGAATTGCTCTTTCGCTTCCTCCAAAACACCAAACACCTTCAATGACAGAAAAGTGCAATCACCATCGCTGTCCTCCCCTCCGGCCCCAACCCAAATGAGTCTCTCCTCCACTCCCAGCTGCTGCGAAGTTCACGTGGGGAAAAGGCACAGAGGGGAGGTGAGGACATGGGAGGACATCATAACTGAGAACCTGCCCTGACCGGTTTGGCTCAGTGGATAGAGTGTCGGTCTGCGGACTGAAGGGTCCCAGGTTTGATTCCAGTCAAGGGCATGTACCTTGGTTGCGGGCATATCCCAGTAGGAGGTGTGCAGGAGGCAGCTGGTCGATGTTTCTCTCTCATTGATGTTTCTAACTCTCTATCTCTCTCCCTTCCTCTCTGTAAAAAATCAATAAAATATATTTAAAAAAAAAATAACTGAGAACCTGAAAGGAAGCAGTTCTCTGTCCCCGTTCTGTTGATGGACATGGACTAACAATGGGACTTAGGAAGCAGAAATTGAAGCAATTAAAATCTAGGTTGTCTGAAGAGTAACCTGCAGTCTCTGCTCCTATATCTTCACAGTTTTGAATGTTTTTTTTACGTTAACAGAGCTATTACTACAGGTTTAGAACAGAAATGAAGTAATGCACTCAAAAGAAAGAAGCCTTAATGTTGGATTTTCTGCTAGTGTATATGCCTCTGCTTTTTTTTAAAACACCAAACTTTAACATGTCAAAGACATCCAAAGGAATGACTGATGGGTTACTGAAGCTTCTTTTCATGCCAGCAGAGCGAGAACCAAGAATTCTGAAAGTTGAAGCAATGACTTCTTTGGATACATAAAAACAATGTATTAAAAGCATGTCATAAAATGCAGGAAAGGGAGGCATGTCACCTAATAATTAGAGCCAAAACATGCTGCAGACTTGACTGTCCTGACTGGAGGAGAGAGAGACATTCCTTCAAGAGTTCACAGCCCCCGGCAAGGGAGCTGCTTCAGCCAAAAAAAGGTACGGACACGGCCTGGTGGTTTTGTGTTTGTCTTTTAATTTTCATATAGTGACAGCTTTACTGTGAACTTGACCTTACAAAGTTAGAATAGCAATTACACTTAAAATTACCTCATTAGAAAGTTTAAATATGACATTATCGATATGCCCTTTCTGAAATTCCAGGAGATATTTATTGCTACCTATTTTTTCACCTGGCTATATTCTTATTTTCTTACCCACCATTTGCAGGACTGGAAGCATCTGCTTGGCCAGGCAGATTGGCAAAGTGAATATTTTTACTGGTTTCTATTACTCCATTTTCTGAATGTAAGACCTTAGATAGCAGAGTGTGGTTTTTCCTCATCTGTGTAATGCACTGGTTATTAAAATAAGTTGAAGCTGCACTCATTCCACGCATCCATCATGTACCTACTCTATGCTACAGTGAGGTCTCTGGTCTCTTAGCTGTCACCAGAGTTATGCATCTGAGACACGCTTTCCTTTCTCACCTTTTGAGATGGTCCCGGGGTGAGTCATTTCACCCAAGTGGTATCATCTCCTGGGGGCTCGGTTTAGGGGGCCCCATGCTCGGTTGCCTGCACAGGCTGCACATCTACTTTGTGTTGGGCACTGGGGCACGCAATTTATGATGTGATCCAGTTGGCTCTTCCAAACTCTGCAAGGAGGGCCTCTCATGCTTCACAGAGTGAAGCTCAGAAAGGTGGTGACCTGTCCCAGGTCACACAGCTGTTGAGACACCAAGTCAGGGTTTCTCATTTCCAGGTCTGAGGCCTCCATGTTCTCATCACACCACATCTGTGGCTCCTCGGCCCCTTCCAATCCCTGTAGGCAGCAGCTTTCCTTATCACCCACCCTGACCTTGGGGTCCTTGATTCCCAGCACAAAAGAGCAACCTGAACATCAGTCTGTGGTTAGCTGAATAATGACCCCCATCAGTGTCCATGTCCTAATCCCTGAACCTGTGAATATGTCACCTTAGATAGCAAAAGGGACTTACAGATAGATTAAGCGGAAGTTCTTGAGATGGGAAGATTGTCTTGGATTATTTGGGTGACTTCAATGTTACCACAAGTCCTTAGAAGGAGGAGGCAGGAGAGTCGGGACCAGAGAGAGATGGAGGAAGGGGCCACAAGCCAAGGAGTGTGGGCGACCTTGAGAAGCTGGAAAAGGCAAGGACACAAATTCTCCCCTGGAGCCTCCAGATGGACTCAGACCTGTTAACACTTTGATTTCAGCTGCAGAATAAATCCGTGATGTTTAGAAAGGAAAATTAGCCCTAGCCAGTTTGGCTCAATGGATAGAGCATCAGCCTGCAGACCCCAAGGGTTTGATTCTGGCCAAGGGCACATACCTCAGTTACAGGCTCCTCCCCGGCCCAGGCCCTGGTCAGGGCATGTGCAGGAGGCAACCAATTGATGTGTTTCTCTCACATTGATGTTTCTCTCTGTCTTTCCCTCTCTCTACCAATCTCCCTAAAAATCAATGGGAAAATATCCTTGGGTGATTCGCAAAACAAAACAAAAAGAAAAATTGAAGT